TTATACAAAAAATATAAATACTATTTACAAGACAATGTCAGAATGCCAAAATTAACCAAATATAACTCAAAATATCTTTTCTCCCACAAAAGGGAAATACAGAAGCCATTTTAAGAGTATTGCAGATGAAAAGACAATATTTAAAAAGTATTGTAGCAAGATGAACTCTTAAGCACCAATAAGTAGTTTAGCCTAAAAAATTAAGGCTCTCAGAAGAATTGATAGACAGAGATAGGCCAAAATTATTCAAATTTTCCAAAAGATAGAAGGTAAATTCTACAAATTAAATTTTGATATCAAAATCCAAAAAGTTCTAGGTAAAGTAAATCTAGTCTTAATTATGTCCTTGAAACTAATTTGGTGAACAAGGAAACAGTGTCAAATTGACCTGAGTTCAAATCCTGATCCTGCTTCTTGAGAATTACATGAACTTGACAAATTACTTAGCGCACGCACCTGCCTCTCCCTCCTTCCTCCGCCTCAGTATAACAAAGATAATATTACCTACCTTACAGGATTGATTTCTCAGGCAAATGAGGAGAGATCACTAAGAGCAAGCTCAAGGTCAAACTCTGACCCTGTCTTATTCTACAGTTTATAAATTACTTGAATGTAGACACAGAAATTAAGATTATTAAACCTACAGATGAAACAAAACTGGAAGAGAAAATTATTTTGTTCCTAACATGAAGAAATTAAGACCTTCAACAAGTAGCAGACATGCCCTGACCTAAAAAGAATTAACTGTAAAGGGGTAGGTCATGCATTTAGGTTCAAAAAAACAATTGCCCAATACTCAGAATGGGGGTGGAAGAGCTTATTTTAAACGTGAGAGCTGGGCACAGTGGCGCATGCCTGTAATCCCAGCAATTTAGTAAGACACCTTTTCAAAATAGAAAATAAAAAGGGGTGGGGATATAGCTCAGTGGGTTCAATCCCCAGTACCCCGCCACACACACACACACACATGCACACACACACAAGAATGTTAGAGTTTTGTTTGCAAACAACATATGAGCCAAGAGTGTGATTTATTGCAGGAAAAAAAGCTAAAACAATTTTAACCTATATTAATAATGGTAGTGTCCAGATCAAGGAAATAATAGTTCAAGTACATTCTTTTCTGATCATCATGTTCCACCACTGTAGACACCTTTTAGAAGAAAGGCTGACAAAAGTATTTCCAAAGGAAATTAACCTAAATGATTAAGGGTCTGAAATACTGGATATGTGATGAATTGGGGATGTTTACTTGCATATTTGAAAATCTGAAGGGATTTGGAACCTGTCTTCAAATATTGGAGAAGCTATCATATAGAAAAGAAATTCGGGCTGGGGATGTGGCTCAAGCGGTAGCGCGCTCGCCTGGCATGCGAGCGGCCCGGGTTCGATCCCCAGCACCACATACAAAGATGTTGTGTCCACCGATAACTAAAAAATAATAAATTAAAAAAAAAAGAAATTCTATGCAGTTCTATGCAGCTTTAAACAGCAGAAATAATACCTATGTGTAAAAGTTACATGGAAACCTCCATGTAAAAAAGACCTTTTGTACACAGCTGTGTGACACTAAAATGGGCTAGCTGTAGGGTGACGCACCATTGCAATAATTTGGATGCTGAATGTCCCCCAAAGGTACACATGTTCAAAGGCTTGGTCCCCAGGATGGCTCTATTGGGAGATGTTGTGGACCTGGAGTAGGTGTGATCACATTAGGTCATTGGGGATGCGCCCTTAAAGGGAACTGTGGGAGCCAAATGACTTCCTCTCTCTTTGCTTCCTGGCTGGTGAAGTGAGCAGTTTTGCTCTGTCCAACATTCTTGCCATGATGTGCTGCCTCACCACAGGCCAAAACAGTGGGGTCAGTGGATCGTGGACTGGAATTGCCGAAACTGAGAGCCAAAAATGAGTCTTTTCTCTTGTTAAGTTAATTATTTCAGGCATTTTTTATAGTGATGGAAAGCTGACTAACACAACCCCCTATTACCTGAGCATTCAAATAGACAGTAGGCTCATGGTCAACAAAATGTGTTGAGCAGATGATCATGATGAAGTGTACCTACAGTCCCAGCCACTCATGAAGCTGAGCTGAGAGGGTGGCTTAAGCCCCGGAGTTCAAGACCAGCCTAGGCAACATAGTGAAAATCGATCTCTCTCTCTCTCTCTCTCTCTCTCTCTCTCTCATACCAGGAATTGAACAGGGCACTTAACAACTGAGCCACATATCCAGCCCTTTTAATTTTTTATTTTGAGACATGTTCTCAGTAGGGTGCTTACAACCTCGCTAAATTGCTGAGGCTGGCTTTGAACCTGCAATCCTTCTGCCTCAGCCTCCCAAATAGCTGGGATTACAAGTGTGTGCTACCACACCCAGTGTGAGAACTCATCTTAAAAAAAAAGCTTCCTGAGTGACAGGAGGTGTGCAAAGCACAGATGATGATGAGTAAATGACCAGCACAATCTCTTCTACTCTCATGGAAGGTAAAGTCTACTGCGCAAGGCAAATAATAACACTAATACATTTTCAGTGAGAAAGATAAATCCCTAAGGAAGGAACACAGTTTTTCAAGCGTATGTAACAAAAGATCCTAACTTACAGTGTGAGGTCAGGTTTCCCCTGCGTGATCTCTGAATGAGAGGCAAATGGTTAAGGGCAGAACATTACAGTGAAAGGAAAAAGCACAAGCAAAGACCTGTGGAAAGAGAAACTACTGTAGGTTCAAGGAATTGAAAGGTTTATATAACCTGAGCACAGACAGTAAAGGAGTGAATGAAAAGAAGCAGGGGAAAACCACAAAGAGCCTTGAAGGCCTTGTTAAGTATTTGATCTTCTCCCAAAAGTAATGGGATGCTACTGAGGAGGAATTTAAGTACCAATTGGCACAGAAAGGAACCATCAATGTGGAGAATGAATTGGAAATGAGCCAGAATGTCAAAAGGAGACCACTCAGGAGCTTCCTGCAGTAGTCCATACCAGAAAGGAGAGGAGTTTGGGAAAAGAAGGTAGTAATTAAAATGTAGAAAGGTGCACTTATTGGAGAGAGTTTGGGGAAGTTAAATGATAGAAAATGGGTGACCAGGCCAGGGGATGATTTCAGTAGTTGGATATGGTTTAAAGCAAAAATGCTCCTGATTCTTTGGCCCTAATTAAATACCTTTTTTGTTGGGGAGGCATAATTAATTCAGTAATTATTTTACTGGGAATGCAGAGGAGGATATAGATAAGAGGTATAAAAGGTGGACCACACTCCCCACCCCCATTTTGCAGATTACATAACTGGATGGATGGCAGTACCATTCAATGAAGTAGGAAATAGGAAGATAAAAAGTTAGGTGGGCTAAGACCTTGGATTCAGATTTGAGCAAGCTGAATTTCAGTGGCCTTGGTTTTAAATAGGCAATCTAACATAATTAATTTAGAACTTAAAGGACAGGTCTAGACTAGGAATAAAATATTGAGAATCACTGACATGTAGATAGTTGTAGCTATGGGTCTAGAAGGGATTATCTAAGGAGAAAACAGAGTGAGGAGAGGGCCTTTGAGGAATAATAGCATTGAATAACTGGGTAGAGGAGGGTGAGTCTGCAAGAGAGAGTATGAGTCAAAACAGAAACAAAGCATCAGAGAAGCCATGGAAAGAGTGTCTTCCATTAAAGAGGCAATGGTCAACAATCCCAAGTACATATAGGAGGATTGAAAAGTATCAATTAAGTTTAGGGACACGTTTCAGTGGAATGACAGAGCCAGAAATCAGACTGCAGTGTTTTGAGAAGTGAGCTGGTAGTAAGTAAATGGGAGACAATAAATACAGAGTCTATCCAAATTTCTAGCTGTAAAATAGGAAGAAAAGGTGACTGGTGTGCAGGTGGAAGGAGAAGCCTGAGTAGGTTAAGAAGAAGTGATTATTCAGGAGAAAGGTTCGGGAGGAGGGAAAAAATGGAATCTGAAATACAGGTCCAGGGACCAGCCTTAGAAAAAACGAGAGGTAATGAAGAAAAGGAAGTGAAAGAGGCTGAATTAGATGACCTTTAAGATCTCTTCTGACTCTAGAATCTCATGACCTACAATTCCCTTTAGGCAGGACATTTGCATATATGCATAAATTTATGCAAACTTATTTAAATATTCTGGTATAAATGAATCAGTCAAGCACATCCTTAGCCCCTAATGACGCAGTTAATGTCCCCAGGTTTATGACCAGTGTAATCTCTGGGCAGGATCCATCCCTCAGAGAGCTTTTAGCTCTCTGCACACTGCAATACAGCACTGGACGGGGGCCCTATCTTTCCTAGCCAAACCCATCCTACACCGCGATTCTGGACGCTAAAGGAGGAAGTAAAATTTAAAACCCTCAAACTATAACATATCTTGCAGTGTTCGAACCGGCTGTCATTTATAAAAACAAAACGCGACACCCCAAATCCATCTCCTCTCCAAGCTAATGCCATTCCTGCCTGACTCCACAGTTGACAGGTCCCCCAGATGGCCGGGGGTTAACCCGAAAACTCATTCGCACCCCGTCGTTCGTACGATCTTTTATTCGTGAAGAACCAGAATGGGGTTCCTGAGGGATCCTTCCCACATCCCTGGCCCCACTGCAGCAGACGGACTCCCCGCAGTCATTCTGGCGGCGCCACCTAATAAGCCCTCCACGGGAGTGCGGAGGAACCCCCAGAGCCCGGAGTCGGAGGGGCTTGGGAGACAAGAGCCAGAGGCTACCTGGACGACCAGGGAACCGAGCCCCAGGGGAGGAAGAGGGAAGATTAAGGAAGGCGCAGGAGACGAGGAAACGAGGGTCACCCTCCAGGAGATGGAGTTTCTGAGGAGGGCTAATCCCCTGCCACCGGCCCCCCTCTCGCCTCAAGCGCTGCTCCGTACCCACGATCCTCCAGCGCCCCATGGCTCAGTTTCATTCCCCCTCCCCGGGCCGCCCGGACCTCGGAGTGCCCGCGAGCCCGGCGCCCCCGACTCGAGCCGGGGCTTCCCGGCCGGCACTCACCCGGCCCGCCATCTTCGCGGACACGTCCGGCTCCGCGGCTGCAGCTGGGTGCTCGACAGAACCCGCCCCCGCCGCGCGCGCGTCCCCGCCGCCCGCCCTCACGCAAGCGCGCAGCCGCCGTGAGCCCGCGCGCGCCCCCGGCCTAGTCCCCGACGCCCCTCCCCGCTGGGCGCGCGCCGGCTCGACGACGCCATCTTGAAAGCGAGCAGGCTCTGGGCTGCGCTCTCCCGGGTTGATTTTGCAAAGCTCCTCAGTGCTGGCTGTGTTTTCTTGAACTTGTCGCAAGGCCTCTGATGCAGTTAATCGCTTACCTGTTTGCCAACTACAGTTCTCCTTTTAGTGACCTTTTCACTTTAGGCTTCCAGGCCCACTTAAATGTCAGTGTCCCGAGAGACCCCAGCGAGGTTACTGGTCTTCCGCGAGATCAGCAGCGAGAAGTTGGGTCTGAATTCTAATTCCGAAGAGTCCTGGTTTTTCTTTATAGACGCACTGGTCGTCCTAATTCCTGGAAATTGTCAACGTTGACATTTTTATTTAGCTTAGGAAAGCCTGGAAAACTCGTACTTTCTTCAAATTTGAAAGTAAATCGATATTATTTTTATGAATTTGTTAACTTTATGATTAAATCTTTTTATTTATAAAGGCATTTATTTCCCAGTGTTATTTTATTGTAGGCTACGTGATGAATAAAATATGCCCTAAATTCACTTTTTTCTTTTTTTTTTTAACCTCAAGGTTGTCTTCCTATCATAATGTTTCTTCACTGGAATCTCAGAAGAGCACGCTACGAGAGGATGATACTGAGTGAATTCTCTGATGCCTGTACTGCACCAGCTAGCTTATATTTCTCTTCATATTTGCACAGGACAATAAGGAACAATAAGATTTATTTTTTATTTCTCACAGTTAATTAAGGGGGAAAGGGGGAAATTTGTTTTTCCCAAAACAAGGAAGGGAAGGAAAAAATTAAGAGAGCTAAGCACATTTAGTGATTTAAAATTGAGGCGCTGAAGATGGACTAGGGACGGAAGAATTCATTCCAGTTTCATAAACTTTCACACTGAATGGGAGAATCATGGTACTTTGTTGGACAGATCAGATATTAACTAAATAATGAGTGAATCAGAGGGGTTATCAGGAAGAATGGGAAACCAGTCCAATTCTCATCTATTAACTTACAAAACTATAAAAACAACTGGAGTGGGTTGGTGATGTGGCTCAATGGTGAAGTGTTTGCCTAGGATGCTTGAAGCCCTGGGTTCAATCCCCACATAACAACAACAAAAAGAACTAGAAGGCAATGGAAATAATCATGAGGCTTAGATCTTTGTCCTTTCTGGAACTCACCTACTATGTCCCTTCCCAATTCCAAGTCCTAGTTTCCCTATTTGTAAAGTGAGAGGAATAATTAGATAAGCTTGATGGTTGCATCTTAAATTTTTGGTACTTTGAATTTGAACCGTTAAGTCTAAGAGATTTTTGCCCAAAGAATTACCAGATCCAGAAAAGACACTGGCTCTCAGTTCAATTGGCTCTCAGGTCAGAGAATAATGCAAACATATTTACCTATACTACTGGTTTGTTTGTCTGACTTTAGTAGGTAAGTAGATTGCAAGCAGGAATGTCCTCAATCTCTCCAACAAGGAGGAATGTTTATCATCCTGTAAAGATAGGCCTGCTGAAGAGGTTCCAGTGTGACAGCTTATGCTCTTATCTATCCATGGTAAGAAGCCCTTTGTATCTTCCCCCAAATGGTAAAAATTAAATAGAATCACATTAACAGTCTTGCAGGATCTACCAAACAAATTGCAAGCAGGTATAGCACTTGTCCTTAAGGTGCTTAGCCTTCAGCAGGAGGCGAAGGACTCGGAGACCTTGTTCCAGATTGTCCATGTGTCTCTGCAGCCCATCTGTGCCTTGCTCTGACATTCAAGGTCTTATTAGAAACAGAGTGGAGCTAATTCTGCATCACCTTCTGAACAGTCCTTGCAGTGATAGTTGATAGGTAACAAATATTTTTGTTCCCTCCTTTTCAGGTAACAACTCCCCCAATTCATTCACTCTTGTCAGACTAGAAACCCTTTTCTTCCCTGGCTAGGAGTGAGGACAGAACCAGGACTCATCAGTCAGATGCTCTCTCCCCCAAACTGTAGTCTCAACTCTCCTTGAGGAAGATAGAAATATCCAGAGCATATATACGCCACGGTGACACCCCAAAGAGATACCCTCTGGTTTTCTAGATCCCTGGAGCTCATTTCTTCTTCTGCAAAATCTGGTTGTTCCCCTTTGTTTTGATTTCTGTAAGTTACTCACTTTCCTTCCCTTCCCCAAAAAACAAAAACACAGGGTCAGGGTTGTGGCTCAGTGGCACATGAGGCACTGGGTTTGAAAAAACCACAAAGGTACTTTCCTTACAGTGAAAAGATAGGTAAGCCTCCTAACAGAATGATTTTCAATTTAACCTAAAGTATAAATGACTAACATTTTCTAGAGGCTGGAGGGCTTTTGGAGGGGACAAAAGATAGACTAGAGATAGGAAAGTACCTGAAAGGTGGGAAGAGAAGATGATATAATAATGAAATATAAACAGGACCCAGGATAAAGAAGAGTGAAGTGTCAGGGCAGGAGCAGCCTTTTGTGACCCAGTATGATGGTAAAATTTATATGTCAACTTGGTTGGGCCCATGGTGTCCAAATACTTGATTAAATGTTTTTCTGGCCATTTCCATAAGGGTGTTTTGAAATGAGGTTTATATTTAAATCTGTGGACTTTGAGTAAAGAAGATTGCTTTCCATATGTTGTTGAGCCTCATCTAATCAGCAGAAGGCCTGAATAGAACAAAAGGCTAATCTCATCCAGACCAAGAGAGAATTCTCTAGCAGATTACCCTTGGACTAGATCTGCAACTTTTCCCTCCGTTTTCAGCTTGCCAATCTCCTCTATCAGGTTTTGGACTCACCAAGCCTTCACAATCACAAATCAATTCCTTAAAACAAATCGCTTCCTATATATTTACACATCCTACTGGTTCTCTTCCTTTGGAGAACCCTGACAAATATTCTCAGTCTCCTGTCAGTGAGTGACATGGAGTGAATCCAGGCTTTTACACAGTGAAACGTAATATTCCCTTGTTACTATTTGACAGATAACCAGCATTTAAAGATTTGATGACGGTGCATGGATAGAATTTTATGTTCAAATTATGTCCCAACACATTGCCTAATAAGTGCTCCATTGGACTACGGCTGAGTAACATTTTGATTACATAGAAATTTTGGTTGTAACAACTGTGGTACAGAATTTAACTGAGAGGAAATAAATTTTGCCTGTGTAAATTGAGGAGTGAGGACAATATTAACATAAAAATGAGCTGATTCACTGTAATGCACTTTATTTAACAAAGCAGTGCTTTGTTTTTGGTGCTTTCCATATTAACTGAAAGAGAACTACCTGAGGTCTGTGAGAACTATAGGGTTAAATAAATGGTTTGGGGACAGATAGTTTTCAGTCACTGCAGGACATGCATTTCAAAGGTAGTTCAGCAGGATGGTATGCAGATGTTTCAGGGAACAGTCCTATTCACCACTGCATTGTAACTGTCAGAAGGCATCTGCAGTGTGTGTGTGGGGGGGGGGGGAAGGGAGGGAGGAAAAGGGAGGAGGATCTGCACTGACTCTTTACAGAAGATGTCATTGTGAGACAAAAATGGTTTTCATGCTGGGCATGATGGTGCACGCCCTAATCCTAGCAGCTCAGGAGGCTGAGACAGGAGGATTGTGAGTTCAAAGCCAGTCTCAGCAAGGGCAAGGCAAAACAAATCTATGAGACCCTATCTCTAAATAAAATACAAAATAGGGCTGGGGATGTTGGCTCAGTGGTTAAGTGCTCCTGAGTTCAATCCCCAGTACAAAAAAAAAGGTCTTCATGTTTTCTTGTATTAGTAACTTAATGAAGTAGTCCTCCCAGGAGTAATTGCAATTTAAGAGAATATTACTGGGAAAACAACGGCTACCCTAAGGAATCAAAGCTATAATGGCAAAATTTCAGAGACTGATATTGCATAGGAAGCCATCTGTAGATAGTCTTATTCTTTTTTTTTTTTTCCCCTTGTATCAGGGATTGAACATTGAACCTAGGGACTTTCTACCAAGGAGCTTCATCCCCAGTCTTCTTATTTCTTATCTTGAGATATGGTTTCACTAAAATTGCCCAGGCTGGCCTCGAACTTGCGATCCTCCTGTCTCAGACTTCCCAGTCACTGGTGTTGTAGGTGCATGTCACCATGCCCAGCAAGAGCCTTATTCCACCTCCAAAGCTAGCCTTCAGGGTCAGCCACCATGCCAGGGCAGCATGCCTTATGATCTCTTAATTTTATAGCCTCACACAATCAGGTTTAGGATGATAGTGTTGCCATATGTTTGTTTTCTGTCAGAAAAACCTATTCCCCAAAATGATGGGTAAGTCAGAGAAGAGAACAAAATGGAGAAAGGATATGGAATTTTGAAAGAAGCAGGATCAGCTGATGCAGTGCAGCATCTAGCTGCAGTCGGGTTTTTGTTTGTTTTAATGTAGGTGTTTTTATTTTTTTCCCCCTTTGCAGGATCAAAGACAAACACCTATAGTCACGAAAATCAATTCATTCTGGAAAGCCTGAGTGGGAAGGAGAAATGATAGGATCCTCTGTGGAAGGGAAGGAATGTTGCTATGGAAACCAGATGATCCTTTAGTGCCAGCCCTAATGTAATGCATTTGCCAGGCTGACTAACCCCGCATGTTCACATCGTGGGGCCAGAAAGCTGCCAGCTGCCTGAATCCCTTTGGAAAGGGAGTTTTCCCATATTGGTCTGATGAGCTTTTCTGCATCTTGAGAAAATGAAGTCAGAGTCTCCTGGGAGGGCTGAGTTGCCTAGAACCTAAAGATGCTAGAAGCCTTCAAGTCATTGCTGATTGGGGTGATGACACTGACTGCTAGGTGTATCTTTCGGTTTCTCCTAAAGGTAGATGAGTTTCTTAGAGGGCTGTTTCTTAGGTAAAGGATA